GACATTCAAAGGTGGCTAAGAAGCAAGTACGAGACCGTAAAGAATTTTCTGCTTGAGTATTGCGAAATTTAAGCAATTTACTTTGGTTGCGTAGCAATTCTCGATTTATTTATTTATATTTATATCGCACACCTTAAAGCAAGTAAATAGTAAATCAGACAGGACGTCACTTCTCACAAGAACGGGAACGGAACAATGACCACGCTTTCAGCCCGTGAAAGCACGTCGCATTCACTTCCGCCTTCGAGTGCGGAGCATTGGGATTGGGTGTTAGGCGGAGACAGGAGTAGAGCATTCCCCAAGCGCCAAGCATGAGGCAACAATGGCAATAATCATTGCCAATGGCCGGCATTTTTCATGGGTGCCCCCAAAATGGATCACGCTTACTATTTTGATACAAAGAATTTGTAGTATACATATGCAACGTAAGAATGCTATCGACTTGCAGATACCCTGTACCCCCAAACATGCTTTTTGCTTTCTTGTGTGTAATCTTCTTATTTTGAAATAGTGTAGATGAACAAAAAGAAAAGTCCGAATTGGAAGATATATCTTTAAAATGCTGACTTTTATCGGCTATCAGCCATCGATTTGTATCGATATTTGCAAAATTAGAAAAGTAATCGATCAAGAGAAATAAACTTTATCCGCGTTTGGTAATCGAGAACTTTTATTCCAAGTTTAAAGTTTCTAGCTCCCATAGATAGATTGACTCGACTGAAATTTGTATACTTTATAGGATCACAGATACTTCCCACTTGGCTCACAATTCCAACATACCCTCTTCATACATTTTTAATGGGTTTAACGAGTATACAAAAGCACTGACCATGCCAAACGATTGAACAAATGAATTTTATTAGCAGCTGTTGCCAACTAAGACCAATGCAGTACCACCGAATTCGTGGGCGGTTCAACAAATATGTTGGCCCAATGCCAGCAATTTCCATGGCATCGATGCGCCCCCAACAAGGGCACATACATTTATCATTCATCATATGCGAAACTATTTAAACTACTTGAAATTAGCGGCAACCATTTGTGGTAGGATTTTCCTGTACACATTAAATATATTTTTAAATCATTCTCATATATCTAGCAGTCATAAATCTTAAGCTTATTTCAAAAATGTGACTACTTTTCTTTGATCCACATTCAATACAAAGCAAGTAACTAAAGCAAACCCAAATAAGTAGACTATATTAACAGAAACAAAACTGCACAACGTCAAACTTAAAGCATGCTCAGCAGGCGTTAAAAAATGAATATGCCACAAAGCAGGAAAAAGCAAAGTGTTTTACTCACACCCACATCACATGCAAATAGAAAGGGGATATTCATGACCCACTAAGTGAGCGATTCAATGTCAATAGCAGTTGCCAAATAAACCACATAAGCGAAACAGAAAAAGTGTGTCCCACTTGTTCTGCACAACCACAATTGTTAGGCAAGTGCCAGACACATTTATTTTTTATTCATTTGTCTTATATAATAGCCGCTATTTGGCAAAACGAAAACGAAACTGCGACGCAAAAATATATACATATATATCCATATATATATATATATATATACATAGATTTGTATAGTCATTTGCATACCTGTGCGACGTTACTATAAATAATGACATCCAAAATCTGCAGCAGGTCTATAATTATATGCCTCACATAAATATTTGTAAGGCATTTGTCTGTGTGTGCATTTGTACTTAGCTACATACATTTGTACATCTGTACATCTGTACATACATAAATGCTTATGTACTCAAGCTTATGTAGATCAAGTTTAATTTAATGCCAACGATAACAAAAATAAATAAATACAAGGAACGAAGGCAAATGTTGCAAAAAGAAACCAGCTCGACTGCGATATGCTGTAGAAGTTATTTGAACAGATTCAATTGATAAAAAATATGTTTTTTATGACGCAAATAAATCGAATAAGTCTCATAACAAACATATTAAGTCAAGAGTATATATATATATTACAAATATATTCATAGTTTGAGTACGCTTATAGTATGAATGAAAAGCCTTCAAACAAGATAGTTGTCTTCTTTCTTCTCTCTTTAATTAAAGTTATTGAATCAAGAGTGGTCATTTTAATTTGTATTCCTTTAAGAATTCCAAATAACCAATCCCATTTACTAACTGATATGCCCCAGCTATATTGAAAACCTCTCAAAAAACGAACGGCGACACGAAAAGCAAAAAACAATGTGAGAATCATAGTGTGAATTGCAAATTCGTGATGTTGCACATAAGCAAAAAGGAAAATATTGCTGACGTGTCTGCAAAAAAAAAAAAACAAAAATAAATAAAAAAAAAGAGAGAAATACACAAACGTAAAATAAATAAAACTAATGCGAGCTAAGCACTCGAATGATTGAAAATGTCTTTGGACACTGCAACGTATGCATTGTAAACATTATTTGTATTTATTTTCAGCTACGTCAATGGCAACAGCAGCCAAACAGACAGACAGACTTTTTAAAGGGGGGCGGGACTCGAGTCGAGAGCATAACCAGAATCACCAGCACCAATCACATCAAAAGATCTCACATACGCACTGTATACGTAATCATTTTGCTGAATGATCTATTGCAAACCGTTCCGAACTGAACCCAAACGAAGCAAACTCAACTCAACTCAACTGAATTGTAAACATCGCCGCAACACATTCGCTTTCGGTTTCTTCCGGCACCGCAGCAAGAAGGCAAACGCTCTTCTCTGCTCTGCTCTGCTCTGGGCTGGTCTGGTCTGATCTCTTTCTCGATTTGATGACATAAACAAAATGCTGCTTAGTCAGCATCGGGCGCAATCAGGGAACTTATTTGTTTTTGCTTTTATAAAAGTTTATTGTTCAATGCGGCGTATATACAAATGATGAATGTAAAATAGCCCATTAGGCATCTGTTAATGATTCCATTGGTTTAAATTGATGATGATGGATTCGAAATTGAAAAATTATGGAAAAGAACAAAAACGAATTTTTTTGTTATTGTTTATTTTTCATGAACCCATTAAATATGGCTAAAAGGGGTACAACAAAGTTGTGCACAAGCAGAAGGAAGCGTCCTCGACCCCATAAGGTGTATACTCGTATATTCTAGTTTGTTGGTTTATAATAGTAGAATGAGTAAAAACTTTGGTTCAGGGTATCTTCTATCTCTAGCTCTCTAGTTGAGAGCGTGCTTAAATATTTCAGCTGCAACTTCAACTATTTCCACTACAAACAAGTTTAAGAAGATAGTATTTTATAAAATTCCAGAAGTTAACTTCCTCAACTTCCTGAGATTTAAGCTATGTAAAGATATGTATATATATAGAAAATAATGAGGCGTAAATTAATTGAGCCATTTTACAGTGAAATGAATGCAGTGACATTATTTAAACGACAGTTGTTATCATATATAATTTCTTTACAAATTCCCCGAATATAATTAAATTTAATGATTAAAATTATATATGCCGCTAATGACGCAATTTAAATGATTATTCATACTTAAGGCATGTAACACATTTGCCCCGAATCTAGATATCTAGTTTGAGTACGTAAATTATGCAGAGAAATGCAAAACATAAATGCGTATAATTTTAATGAACATATTTAGCATTCAATTATCATAATTCAAACAGGTTATAGCCACTGTAATTCCAAACGAAATAGAGAAATGATTTTTGTATTTATATCTACGCGTTTGCACAACATTTGTTCTGGCATTTTGAACCAATTAAATTTGATATAATTTGGCATGTGCGGTAAAACCCAAAAATTACACAGCTCTCATTATTTAGTAAATTTTGCATTTATACATTTAATATATATTGTAGATTGAATATTTATATTTGAGCACTTAAATAATTTTGGCCCCGATTTTAGACCGGGCCCGGGCAACGCTTTTATAAAGTTCAAGGACGCCAAAATTTAATTCCATAATGCGTATATATAAATTCATTCAAGGAAATGATTTAATAAACATTTTTTGCACAGCTCAAAAGAGATGCGAACTTGTGAGAGATAAGAGCCATTACCCTGAACACATTAAAAATGAGTGAAATAAATTTGATGACGATGTTCAAATGTATGAAACAGACAGAAGAAAGCATCGGCAACCTTATAAAGTATACATGTTTCGGATCAATGATTTAAATACAGGCAGAGACTATTATATTGTAGTCAAACCGGAAAGGTAACCTGAACTGCAACTTAAACAATTGATATTCTGAACTGAAACCTAAATGATGAACCGATTTGATCCATATGGTAAATGATATGATACAGGTACTGAATACTTTACCATATCCTTTAAGCTTCCCGGAACCGAAATAAACCGAGTACACAATCTGCTTGTAATAATAAGCATTCAGTCCCCACTCACTTAATCCATTTCTAGATAAAACCCGTAAACGTGTAAATGATGTCATGTGAAATTCCTGTTACGAACTTTCTAAGTGTTTTTTTTTTGGCTTATTGATTTTTTGATGCGGCCACTTAGCATGTAAATTAAACAGGATATGTACATGCTAACCCATCATTATGTCCATGAATGGAGCCTTAATTCCACTAATCACGCTTATCGTTAGCAAGTAACTAGAAGAGTCACGCACTTTGAAGCTCTGATTGTCTGATTGATGGTTTTCCCCACGGCACCCCAACTTCGAGTGCTATCTAATCGAGTGCGAGTGTATTCGAGTATTCGCGATGGGGGCCAAGTCAAAATATACAATTTTCGTCATAAATAATCTTAAATTGATGGGATACGGTTGGTTGTCAGCCAATTTGGCAGACACTAACATTTATGGATTAGTTAAAAATTGTTGTTATTTTTTGTTGTTTATTTTTTATTTTGCTTCTGCTAATTAATAATAATTATCAAATTGGACAATAATATTGACATAGGTGGCTTATAGGAAAGTGTGCACTTCAGTTTATCAACTGATAATTATTTACAGACCCCAAAAAACAGTTGGAGAACTAGAATCGTGTGTCCAACTTACGCAGTTTGTTGATACTGTTTGAATATACATATATAATATATAATAATATAAATATATATATGTGTAGTATGTATGTAGCCAAGAAGTCGCACCTGCAAGTAAGCAATGTAAATCGTATTTAGTTTTCAGAAAATGTACACGAATTGTTTCAAATTGCGTTGTGGCAACTAAAAACTTTTCTGGGTAAATGTGGTGCGCATTAAATGACGCATATTTTGTATGACAACGTTCCACAGCAAGACAACAACAACAACAACAAAAACAGAAACAGAAACAACCACAAAGTAAACTCCAAACGCCGCCTTCCCCCTCCAGTTTGAACTGCGTCTTTTCTTTTTGGCTTTTCCAGCTGGCGGCGGAGCAGCAGCAACAGCAACAACAAGAACAACAACAGCAATTGCGTTTGTTCCACGGAAATGGGATCCCATTTCAGGCGCACATTATGCAAACAGGCGACTGCAGTTAAGTTGACTGATTTAGCGCTCGGATGTTGAAGCAACAATTGAAATGTGGCACCAGGCTCTCAAAATAAGCAATATAACCCGAGATATACGATCGAATATTTACCTCAAATTAGAAGTCGTGTTTGGGCATTAATTGAAAAGTATTATGCAGATATATACGTAGAGCCAATGCAAAATAGTGCAAATAAAGTAAGCACAATAATTTCAATAAGTATTCACTCAAATTTGATGAGAACAATCTGATTCAAAAGACCAAGAAAGAACACTCCGAAGATTACATACCCCGTCAGACAAGATGCAATCCGTTCATATGTAAATTTCAACGCTATATGATATAGTAGTCTGATGTTGGTAATCTTATGCCGTAATGTGAGGAGCATAATAAGTGACTTTGCTTCAGGTAACTTTTTAAACAAACAAACTATTCATTCATTTTTCCCATCGTTTCTACGCCAGATATATGATATAGTTATACGAACCAGATGGCTCTCGCAAAGCTCTCTTAAAATATGAATATATGCCAAGATTCATGAAAATAGCTTTCAAGTTTGCATAGCAAAAGAGAGGCAGACAAACATGGCTATATCTATTTGGTTGCAGACGAACAATGTGTTACATATCTCAGGACAAAATTCAAGGATTTTATAGTGCAAATCAAGTTTTTCAAATTTGGCAATATTAATTCATTCAAAATTTGAATAGCCAAATGGCCGAACAAATCATATCTATTATAGGAGAAAAAAATGTGTATATAAATAGCAATAAAAGAGCTTTAGTTTTAAAACAATATCAATTGAATTCAAATGACACATGAGCTCACCAATTTAATAGATATCTTTGTGGGCGGACTGTGCAAAATTCCACATAATTCCCAGAGGACAGCACAGAAATCCACCTGTCCAAGTGTTAATACCCAAAGAACTAATTGTAATACTCGGTATTGGAATAATAAAAAAACAAAGAGGTCTTCCGTTAACCGGTTCGACACGTGTGCAGGGAATCGATGAACAAAGGGGGATGGAGAGGGTTGGGGGACCTTGACTTCGTTGGGTAATTTCTGTTAGCCGATTATTTATGTTGTTTTGCTTTGAACAGAATATTTATGTTGCAATCATAGGAGAGAAAGCGGCTTAAATTAAAGGTAAACAAACGTTTGCTTATAATTATAGTTATTGAATTTTATTTTGCATTTAAAACAATTTCATTTTTATTTGTTTTTTATTTTCTTTTCTTTTTTAGTATTAATCAAAATGCCCAACAATGAAAACCAAAAGCCGTTTAAAAATTGAGTCTAAAAAATATTGAAACAAATCGCCACTGGTGAATGGGATTAGGGGATGGGGTAAGGGATGTTTATATATATTAGCCGCAATGAATACCTTATAGACAAACATACAATAGAGTATTCCATAGCCATATACACACATATATATCTAATTAATTAATTTGTTAATTAATTATTTAAAGCATTGCGGCTGGTTTGTTTGTTGGTTTCTTTTGCTGTTTGTTGTTGTTTTTTTTCATCATTTGTGCCTAAAAAACTAAGTCTTAAATGGCTAAAACGGCATTTGTTTAGTTTAGTTTACTTAACTTTTTATTTTTTATTATTTATACAGTTTGTCGACTTGCCGAACAAAGAGCGCTACGATTGACAGACAACTAGGATTGCGATAAGTGTGCTAATTATATAGACTATATATATATATGAACATATATATAGATATATATATATATATGCCTAGTTAGTAGTATAAAAATATATATATATATATACGTGTACGGATCTGTGTGTAAATCTAGATTGCCTGGGCATTTGTTTTTATTTTCTGTTTCCGTTTTTTTTTGGGATTTACACGCCGAGCAGGCACTCGGCAAACTGCCCGGGCTACGCCTGCGTCACAAAATACATCTCGCCGGAGGAGCCAACGACAACGGCATGTGTGTCACCCGTGTGTCCACCAGTGCCGCCGCCCAATGCATTTGGAGCCGCTGCAATCATGCTGGTCATATCGGACATATCAGTGCCGTTGCTAACAATGCTAACGGCACCGCTGAATGCAGCTGCTGCAGCCGCCGCAGCTGTCACATTCGTTGACCCAGTGGCAATTAGCTGCTCGTTGACCACACTACTGCTGCCATGATCCGTGGTCTCCACATGCTGTTGCAGCCCGTCGATATTGTCGTACAGCATCGAACACTCACCGCATTTGTAGAAGGGATCCACACACTCGGGATGCTTGCGTTCGACGTGCCAGCGCAGATTCGCCGCATTCGAGAAGTTCTTGCGACAATTGGCGACGCCACAGCAATAAGCGCGTTGCTGATGCGTCTGTCGATGCCGATACAGTATCGCCTTCGATTTGAACGTGCGATTGCAAATGTTGCACACCGGCGTACTCGTCTCCGCATCGTGCGTCTTCATGTGCATGCGCAACATGCCGGGTCCCTTGAAACTCTTCAAACAGATCTCGCATTGCGGCTGCTTCTTGCAATTGGCACGTATCCAATTGGTGTGCGAATGCATGTGATTCTGCAGACCTTTGAACTGCCGGAACTCCGTGCTGCACAAGTGGCAGATGTAGCGACCCGAACCGAGTGGTGACGTGTGTTGTCTTATGAATTCCGTCACCAGGTTCGCATCGATCTCGTAATTATCATCGGCCCCCGCTGCTGCAATCACAGATGCCGTCTGCACCAATTGGCGTGAATTGGCTGCGGCAAGTTTACTGCTAATTGTGGGTGGACTATGCTGATGATGATTGCAGGGTTGTTCCACAAGTTGCTGTTGATGCTGGTTATTATTGTTGTTGTTGCGACGCGTTCGTTTGGCGGCACTGGGTGTGGGACTTGGTGTGCTGTTCACGTGCAGCGTGAGCGTATCCTGTCTAAACTCGACAACTGCATTCTCCAGCGATAAACTATGCAGTTCCATAGATTGTTGTTGCTGTTGCTGCTGCTCCTGCAACTGTTGTTGCTGTTGCTCCTGCAACTGTTGTTGCTGTTGCTCCTGCAACTGTTGCTCTTGCATCTGTTGCTCTTGCAACTGTTGCTCTTGCAACTGTTGCTCTTGCAACTGTTGCTGCTGTGCATCGACATCGATGAAGGCCTGCTCAATATCGCTAGCGCTCACATCGCCATCGGTTGGCTCCATAATCGCATAGTGCAGCTCATCATCGACATCGTCGGCGAGTCCTCCATGCTCCGGGTCATCCGTAATATATTCGCATTCATCTACTGGCGTCATATCATCCACATCGCCCTCCATTTCACCTCCGTCGCCATCGTCAAGCATATGCTCTCCCTCGAGTTGAATTTCCTCAATGACGAAATTATCTTCAACTTCATCCTCTGGTTTGACAATGCCGCTGCCATCCTCGTGCTGCATCAGGTGCTCAACAAAATACCCATCATGCTCCTGCTCCTGCTCATGATCCAATTCCTGTTCGTGGTCCTGGTCCTGATCCTGGATGTCGCTGTGCGTCAACTCCTCGTCGATGAGCACCTGATGATGATGATGATGGTGATGATGCTGCTGCTGCTGCTCCTTCAGATAATCCTGCTGTTGATCATCGTCCAGCACAATCGTCTCGAATGCGTGTCCCTTGCCATCGAGATGTTCATACACCTCATCCAGCTCCTCCTCATCGACCATTTCAGCATCCTCCAGCAGATGAACATCTGCATCAGCTAAAGAGGCGCCGCCATTTCCACTCGCCGCACACAGCTCCGCCGTTGTTGTTGTGCTCACAGCTCCCGCCGTCGCCGTCGCCATGGTGCGCTGAGGCACCAGCTGGACAAGCTGTAGCGTCTGTGTACCATTCGGTTGCTGGACAATTTGCAACGTTTGACCATTGGGCGCTTGCAGGAGTTGTGGCAGAAATTGCGCTTGCGCCGCTTGCGTCGCATTCGCATTTGTTGTCGCCTGCGAACTGATTATCTGCGCCAGCTGCGGCGTTACAATCTGTGTGGTGATAAACTGGCCATTGGGCAGTAGGATTTGCTGTTGTGTTGTTGTTGTCGGCATCAGTTGCGTTGGCGCCGGTTGCAGCGTTGGCAGCTGCATTTGTTGTATGTGTTGTTGTTGTTGCTGCTGTTGTTGTTGCTGCTGGGTTATCAGCGGAGGTGGCGGGGGTGGTGCTGGCTCTGGCAGTAGTTGCACAATTTCCTGCTGCTTTTTCGTTTGACGTGCGGCGCCCTTCCGCATCAGTGGCTTCAATTTACTCTTGGGCTGTGGCAGGTAAAGGAGAATGGTTAAAGTTTTGATGGGGACAAATAAATGCCAAGATTTTTACCTTGACCTGCACTTGTTGCTGCTGTTGTTGCGACTGGTGCAGTACAAAAATGGGTGAATGTTGTTGCTGCTGTTGCTGTTGTTGTTGCAGCAGCTGTTGCTGCATTAATAATTGTTGCTGCTCCTCGAGCTGTTGCTGCTGCTGCTTGAGCTGTTTCTGTAGCAGCACCTTTTGCTGTTTGCGCTCCTGCGGCGTCAACGTCTCATCAGTGACCATACGCACTGTGAGGCCTCGAATATATTCGCGCAATTCTTTGTCGCTCCGCTCGACGAGCGTTTTGAATGCATGATTCCGGCTGACGGCATGAACACATTGCACGCATATTTTGTCCGGCCAGCCCTCGGTGGGCTCCACGCGTACACTGGTGCAGTCCATTAGCATTTCGGGCACTTTTTCGCTGAAGAGCGGACGCATTTCCTTTCGCTCCGATATGCAAAGGCGGCAGATTTTGTCCAATTCCAACACCTTCTTGCGGTCCATCATAATGGAGGCTTGGCTGTGATTGGTTGTCACCTTAATTGCAACTGCCTTCTATAAGCAAAAAACAATATACACTTGACACTTGTTGCATCGAGATAAAAAACCCTTTATCAAATGGCTGTCAGAGTGAGAAATATTTACTGATAACACTTCGGTGTTTAAAATTTGCGCCTTCAGTCGCTATCTGGCAGCACTGTTTATATCACAACGCTCTGGCAACTCGCCACTGGCGGTATAAGCGAGATGGCTATAGTGTGGCAAAGACACGACGACGACGACAACTAGTTATACACACTTTAGCATCCTGGTATTGGTGCGAGCGAAAAATCAGATTTTTAACTACTTTCGCAGCAAACGACACAAAATGTATTTTGTTTTTTTCTTAAATTTGTAGCATTTATGCAATTATTTCACATATTTCTCATACTCTGCGGCCACTTGACGAAGGTTTTCGATCAGAAAAAATTCACATTTTCGACTTACCCAAGCAGTATTTATATAATTTCTGAGGCCTTTTCACAGCATTCAACATTAAATTCGTTTTAAATATGGCCGCGTCACACGATTTGCGAGTGAAAAAACGTAATTAAATCACATTTTACACAATGAGCGCGAGTTTTTGGGTGTTTTGAATTGAGGCGAAACAAAAAAACAAAAACAACGGCGACAGCACCAGTTGGTTATTCTGGCAAGTAAATGAAATAACTAGACTTCGACCAGAGAGTGCCAACCAAATTAATAAAAATTCGATGAATGAAATTTGTGCGTGCAATCGGCGCAGTTGCTACTCCTGCTGCTGTTTCTCCTTTTGTCTTTTTCTTGCGACTGCAGAATGATGCGCGAGGTAGTTGAAACGATGTGAAACGACGATTACACACACGACACACATATATACATATAGTTCTCTCTTTTTTTTCTGCCTCGCCTACTGCTTGTGTGTGTGTGAGTGAGATATGCGTATGTGGCGTGCTGGTCCTGCCAACTTGCTCAAAACAAAAACACCAAAATCCGCGTGTAAAATCAAAACAAATTTTTGTTTGTTTATTATTATAAATAAACTTGACTAATAGCATAATAATTTGGTTGGTTATTGTGTATAATTTCGTATCTCTTACCTGCGCTGCAGAATGTGTATTTCACAGGTCCCCTTGACACACACACACACACTCACACTTTTACACAATTGCACTTTGGCGACTTTATTCCGTCGTCCGGCTATTGCACTTTTTTTTATTGGGTCGTCGTCTGTCGGCACATTTATAATAGATTTTGCAATTGCTCTTATTCACCAGACAAAAAGAGACAGCAATTCACATCTTTCACACGCCCACGTAACAGCTGCGCCCGGTTCGAGATTCTTTAAGGACTGTAATACCATGGCTACAAACCGTGAAGGATGCCACAATAAATTTGTTCCATTTGAGCTGACGTCACAGTAACTGCTGAGCTTAATCGATATATCGATTAATAAGAGCAAATGTTATCTTTGGCGCTATTTTCAAACAGCTGTAATTGTTTATAGTTGGGATGATAAGCTGTGCGTCCGACATGACGTCACAAAATAAAAATCGTAGTTGACTTATCGATTAATAAGCGCAAATGTTATTTTTGGCGCTATTTTGAAAGTGAAATGAGACTCAAAACCAAAATAAATTGCTTTAAATTTAAAAAGGGATTTAATTAAACATGTTGTGAACAAAACGAAATTCGATATAATTGTTGTAAATTGTGTGTTTTTTTACTTAGATTCTAGGCAGGATGAATTGGCCTGCTTATTGTTTGTGTTTGCCAATTCGTATTTTTGACGTTCCTTTGTCTTTTTGTTGTAGACCCGAACAATGCCATAAATGACGACAACAAGGACAATGGCAAACAGCAGGCAACTCAGGACAAACCAGGGATAAAACGAGGAGTTGCCCTCCTCTTCCACCGACGACCATTCGTTGTAGCCTTCAGTGGCATTGACGCTCATCCTCGCCGGCGATGCATTCGCATCGCGGAAAAGTGAAGCCTTTGCCAGATTACGCGAATCGGGTGCTTCAAAGGCCGGTTCGGTGCTATCGATGCGCACGAAGGTCAAACGACCACCGTTCAGCGGCTGCTTGTAGCGGAGCAATCCATGTCCAAAGTACTCGTAGATGTCCGCATCGAATTCCCGATGCTGATCCACCCATTGGCCAATCACCTGCAATTTTACCTCGCTCTTCGCGTCCATGGTGCGGCCAAAATATGCCTGCTCCTGCACATCCAAGCCGCCCACACCATCCGCATCCAGTTCCAGCACCGAGCCACGATGCTCCAGTAGCAGTGGCAACTTCGCCAGCTGCTCCAGCTGGAAAACGCTGCTCGTATTCACGCGTATCTTCTCCACAAACTCATAGCTCAGGCTGCCATAGATGGGCTTCCGCTGTCCACTGGGATTCTTCAGCACTCCATTGCCCAGTCTCATCTTGTAGCTGTTGGTCACATTCCGCCAGGGCAAATAGGTCACATTCCTCAGCTGATACATCAGCGGCTGCAGCTCGACGAGCACATTGATATTATCATCAATACCATACTGTGGCAGCAAGGAGAGCATTAAATTGTATTGTATTGGTAGCTATTGGGAGCTATTTCATCTTCACTTACAAAATTATCCTCAAAGATCATGACCACACAGGTGAACATGTTGTCCAGCACATTGTTGACTAAATCCGCGTGTCGAAAATGACACAATTCGGTCTTTTCTCGCTGCACATTAGTCGCCTTGGCAATATAGCTGAGTCGTTCCTTGGGATTCAGTTCGCTCGCATACTGCTCCATCATGGTGGTGTAGGGCACCCATGCCAACATGGAGCTGGCTTTCCCATCGCATATATCCCGTTGGCCACCTCGTCCACTTAGCTCCCCATTGTACAGCTTGAAGAAGTGATTATTGCTGCGCTTCATCAAAGTCGAGCCGTGATCCGTGCACAGCGTATCAATGAGGATTTCCTGGGGATTAGTCAAGTTGCGAATATATCTATAAGTATACACTCATATATATAATCTTATTCTTATCTATAACCATTATCTCTCTGCCCTGTTCACATTATCTACTCACAGACACTTTTCCTCGTTTCCAGTCTTATTTTTGTTTATTATTATCGGCGCAGCTAATTGAATTTGGAATATATATATTATATATATGTACAGAATGCAAAACTACTCGACTTTGATTTATATTTGGTGTATATAATCTATATTGGCCATATATAGATTGAAGAGCCTTGCGCTTGTCATTTAATGATTTAATGGCAAACAGCTCGTTTTGGACAGGCGATGACAACAACATCAACCTCATCTTAGCCTCGGCTGATTGATCGCAGTTAATGCCTTAAAAGGCTATTATTTTTAACGATGTGTTAACTATGTGCATTAAATCATTAACATAAAATATATACATATATTGTTTGAATTGATCTCTATACCAATTATATGGTAATCTGACTAATGGACACTGATTTGACATCGAACTAACTAAAAATAAATTAACATTATTAAAAGCGCATTTCAAAATATCTTAATGAAATAGCTAACTATTTCCATGTGCCTGTATATATATGTATATATATGTCGTTGTGTAGGTTTTGGATTTGTAGAATCTTTTTTAGTCGCTAAAGTTTTTAGTTTAGTTTAATTAGATTTAAATACACATTGCATTTTGAAATACAAATAATTAAAATAAGTTTGAATATATCAAAATGAGTGTCATCAATTTTCGATATAAATAAACAATTAATTTGAATAAAAATCGTTATGGACCCTGTTGGACTCACCTTCTCCTTGGCCGTCAGGGTTATGGCTGTTATGTGACACTGGGACTGCCCCTCGTTGCTGGCGAGGAACACACGTCGCTCTAAATCACTGAGCAGCAATGGTTCCGTTTTAATGCAGAAATCCGCACGCTCCTCAAACGCCAAACAGCTCGACGTGGACAGCAGGAGGCGGAGCAGAAGCAGCAATCCAAATGCGAAAATGCCCATTGTTTGGTTCTACTTTGATGAGTTAAGTGAATGAGCTGTAATGTTTTCCGTTGCGTTGATACGCGCGACTTCGACGACAAATCGTAACTAAATTTAACAATTAGAACTGGCCAGCTTTTTTTTTGTAATCGTTATTTGCTCACTGAATTCAGTCATTCAACTTGACCGCAAAATCCACGATAGATACGCAGCCTTATAACCATATTTATCTATTTGTGCTTGGAGGATAAACTTGGAGTATTGCGAACCCCAAAAGCAAATCGCCAAAGTAACTGAATTGATTAACATTCAACGAAAAAAAGAGAAAAAAAACCATATATATCGCTTGCACGTCATTTCAGAGATAAGATAATAACTCAGGTGTCTATATCGGTATCATGGTTCGACTCCACACAATGACGAAACGCTACTGAAAAATATTAAAACATAATTTGATTATAAATCGCAATTGCAACGGTAGCCATAATTAATATTATTCAATTTGTTTACAACTGCGTCTGCTTTACTACAACTACATTAACTAGTTTTTTTGTTTTACATTTTTATTCATTAATAGAAAAGTATATAATTGTAATAAACTCTGTACAATTGAAAATTGTTGAACAATTCTTTTTTTTTCTGTTTCTTTTTTGTTGCTTACTTACAACTGCTTCTTAACAGGTCAGTTTAGTTTTTACGTTTTGATGAACTTTTTACATTTTGAACCATTTGTACAAACTTGAACATAAAAATATAGTTTAAGTTAACAGCTTATAAAACTAGGCGTAAATATATAGCTAGTGTGTGTGTTTCTTTTTGAGAGGGGTGCAATTCCGAGAGCTCGACAAGCTGCGCAAAATAAACAAAGCATTGAAGGAGTCGAGAAGTCGAATTAATCTGTGGATAAATAGAGGGATACAAGGGATATAATATGATGATATTTTTGGTCAGCTTGAGGAGGTAATTTCAAATTACCTTCGCTGCTGGCATCGCCTTCAAAATCCAAATCTTCACCATTGAGAATGGCAATATCTTCCTCATCGTCATCATCGCCATCCTCCAAATCGCTATCGTTGTCATCATCGTCGCTCGAGGACCAAGTATCGATCAGATCGCGATGGCTGCGCAACGGGAAACCAAGAAAATTCGGACCAAGTGCAAAAGCTGTCCAAACAAAAGGAATTGTGTAAGTATTCAAATCATAATAGAATCAGATATATATATATATGAAATTAATTACCATTTTCAGAGCCCGTATCGGAGCCCGTGTCGGAGCCCTCCTCATTGGATTCGGGCACCTCCTCATCATCTTCCTGCAAGCATAGACATAATATTAAATTCAATATCATCCATCTGCCGCATGAGCGTTCTGAGATCGACAGGGGCTCCGGTACCGGCACCACCGGCACCACCCAGTGTACGTGCTCGCCGTCGCACACCAACAATTGAGTTATTGGGCGCATGCTGGCGAGCCAGATTCGAATTGGCATGGGACGCTGTGTGCCTCAGCCAAATCGGACGACGGCCAGCACCAATGGCTGCTGCTTCCAATGCATCCAATGGAACAGCAATTGGCACAGCAGCATCAGCATTGGCCTCATCGGCATCAAGCAAAGCTAAATTTGGCGCTGGCGTATGGGGGCGTGGTGCCGCCTCTTCGACGAAGCGAATTAGAACGGAATCACCGCCTCCGGCTGCATGAATGGCTGACGGTGGCGGCTCCACCGACGCACCGGACGCAGAAGCGCCGCTTCTAACGCCACCCTCATCGACGGCCAGATCCTTAACCGGACGCACCTCTTCCGAGCGTTCGCTCTTTTTAACGCCCACTGCATAGATTTTCACATATGTCTCCTGCTTCGAATCGTAACCGCTGTGATCCTCAACGACGGCAATCAGGCTGCCATTGGCGCTAACACTCAAATCGTTGATATTCCGCTTCACATCGATGGTCGCAATACTTGAATAATCGTACGCATCCAGCACATTAAAGCTCGTATCATAGGTGGTCGTCTCCACATCATGATCCCGATCCGCACCCAAACTAGCGCCATATATCACATGCATTGGCGAGAAGGTGCAATTGCGTTGATCCAACACCGGGACAGTCTGCAGCAGATGGAACGTGCGCAGATCCCACACTTCCGTATTGGCTATGATCTGTTGAATAAAAACGAAGTTTACACATATATTTATGGACATTAAGGAGTTGATTTAAGGACTCACCTCGAGACAGTTGGGATGAAAGACGCCCGAAATGCACTGATTGAACTTGTCAAATTTGTGTATCTCTTTGCCGGAGCGCACATCCCAGAGCACACCATCTGGATTGACAAAATATATAAATATGAGAATGTAAATATAAAAAATATATAACATATTTATGCCAGGAACCTCACCTGAGAGCAGCAGTTCGTCTGTGCGGCAGAGTGTGGCTCGATTCTTGGTGTACTGATTGGGTATGGTGGGCGTAAAGGTGAACACCTTGGAGCCCGTATTCACATCGTACAGCACAGCGCACTGCAAAAGGGAAAATAAGAGTTCATTGGTTGATTAAAGAGCAACTGCAGAATCAGAACTCACATCTGTGTGGGTGCCCAGCAGACGATCCTGTGTGGTCTGGCTAAACTCACAGTAGCCCACCTCAGGCAGCCGCAGCTTGGAGCGGAACTCGTTGTCACTGATGGACCACAGCACCGTGGTGCGCAGACGCCACAGACTGGTGGTCAACACCAGATCTCCGGCACGATTCGCCTGTATTGCGTCCACACCGTACGTGTGGCAAATGGAGGAGAACTGTTCGACGCCATCGTTCATGTTGAACACTTTGCTCTCGCCCTGATGGGTGCCCACAATCAGATAATTGCCAACGACATCACAGCACGTGAACTCCAGATCATCGTAGTCGGCGGAACGCATGGTGCGCCACGGTGCAAAATGTGTGTGGACATGTCGACGATCGAAGCGAGCCGTATTGAAACCAGCCTGCGTGCGAAAGTGTCGCGATGTCAGATTATAATTGGAGCTGACCAGTCGGCTCGGACGTGGATCGGGGCACTTGTGCGGTTCGTAGAGATCGAACTGGGGACAGGTTGTCACCGGATTGTTGCACAACGAATGCTGATTCGTCAGATACTCGGTGACAATGCTGTTGAGCGTCACACGCTTCGGATGCAACATGGGCGACACAGCCAAGTCATCGGGTAATCCCGACCCGCCCGCACCGGGTTCAACGATCTGCTTTTGGAGGGAGCGACTGACGGACGAGGCGGAACGTTCCGTTTTGCGCAGCTTGATGGGCGTCTGTGCGCTGAGGTAGTTGAAATTGGGTACACCCAATGTGGCAGATGCAGCGCCACCAGCAGCAGCAGCAGCAGCTGCCGAAGTGGAGGCACCACCACTACTGCTGCTGCAGTGCGGCAACAGATCTTCACTGCGATTCTGTAATTCACCATTGTGCGACATGATGGCAGCATTCACATCCTGCATGCGATTGCGCAAACGACTGCGCGACATCGAGCTGATGCCAGCGAATCCTTTGTAGTCGAAGGGTGACTGGTGAAAATTGCGCGTTGTGGTCGTCTGGAGCGGAAGGCCTACTTCACGTTGCAGCATCTGGGCTGTTTGGGCCAAACCTTTGCTCTCCAAATGCTCAAAGATTAGCTGATACAGTTGCTGTTCGTTGTATTGAATGCGCGTCTGGGCAATCACATTGGCCTTGTGCATGTTGGTTAGCGATGGATCCAACGGATTATTTAGTGGCTTCGTTTTGCCCGAGATGCGTTCGAGCAGCTCGAGGGCATACTTCTGGAAGAGCACATGTTCCGCCCGCTTCTCTTGCAGTATGGGATCGCGCATCAGTGTCTGCAGTAGACCGCTGGCAAACAACGGCAGCTTGCCCACAATTTGACGCACACGATCCGAGCGTGCGAGTCCGGCGAGAGCACGGCATGCCATGCCGCGTATGCAGTCCGCATCGGTGATGGGTCCTTTGGTCTGCATCAACGAGAGCAGCACCACAATGCCATTGTTGGAGCACACCGATTCCCAGACCTTCTCGACGAGTTCCTCGGCATATTTCTGATTCGCTTTATTCTTGCGCGATGAGCTGGCGAACTTCAGGAGAGCTGTGCTCCCATTATCCTTGCGTATGATGGGCGAACAGACGCAATGACAGAGCACGGCCAAAGCGGATTTGATGACCTCAGCATCGGCGGTAATTTCACCGGCAGCGGCGCCGAGCACTGAACAAAAACCAGACGTTGTTGTCTTGTCGAGCATCTGGAGACGCTCGCAGAGCACCAAATAGACACGTGGTATTACACAACAAACACTGAGCACATCCAATGCGGAGCGCACAGTCTCCGATCGACCTGTGTTCACCCAGTCATAGCTGAACGCAATGATGCGCAACAGCATTGCAATTCCACCCAGCTTGAGCAGCTGATCCACTGGCTCCCAATGCGCACGCACCGAGGTGTGCTCCTGCAGGGTGCGCAGCTGTTCGTGCAACTGATCAAAGGTCAACTTGGCTGCGACCGTCGGCTGCTGGCTAAAGTAGTGTGCCGACGATGAGGCGGACGATGTCGCATAGTGTTGGCATAGGAAGTTATTGTACTTGTAGAAGAAATGTGCCTCCATATAACGCTTCAGGGCGATGCACACATGTCGCACCATTTGACGTGAGGCGCACTCCACATCCTCATTGATGTCCGAAGCGTTGTCATTGTCATTCTGCGTGGGATCCAAGATCTTCAACACCGATATCTGGGAAGCATATGTAAAAAGTAAAAGTGTAAGCAGGAATAGTTAAGGTTCCTCAGTCAAGTTCAACTCACGACATTGTACAGCTTTCGCAGGCCATCCTGTGCATCAAACTCATCGAGTATAACCTTGAACTGAAAGCTCAAACTGAAGAACATGGTCGCATGGCACTTGGAGGAGTCATGACAACGACCCAATATCCACAAGGCATAGCGCACTAAATTCGATATCAGAGGACGCGGCATGCTGCAAATGCGCTCCATGGCATCCTCACAGTAGGCCAAATAGTAAATGGCTATGGAGACGCCAGTAGTTGCCAAACTTGGACGTGGCACATTCAACAGTAGCTGCAGCAATAGAATAATAATTTTAATGTATAACCAATATCCATATGGGTTCCCAACTCACCTCCAGGCCACCGCGTGAAATGAACTCCAAGGCAAACTTCTTGTGGCAGAGCAACGAGGCGAGATATTTGAGCACCTCGTAGGCGAGGCAAGTGTCGCGTCTGTCCAACTCCTCGAGATGGCCAAAGATGAGCGTCATCACATTGTTACCGAAGGCCATGCCCAGAAACTCCTGATACTCGCCCAGGCTGGTCAGGAAGCGCATGATGAGCATCTGGCTGGTGTCCGCAGTCGGCGGATGCAGTGGAATATACATGCGTTTATAATAACGTGACAGTGGAAACGCATCGCGACTGTTCTCGAAGAGAATGGACATATTGCTGGCACTGCCACTGGCGCCGTTATGCTGCGGCGATTGTGGTGCGGATGCAGCACCACCACCACACGCCATCCAGCTGAGCATCCCCGGCGAGAAACTGCTGTCCGCCGAGTTGTTGTGATGCGATGTGCCGGCCGCGACGCCCGTAGATTCTGTTGCTGAGTTGTTTTTGCTCATGCGACTGCAGGCGTGCAACAAATGGAGGCGATTGATCATCTTGGGCACCAGGCGCATGTTTTGATCACGACACGTGATGGCAATATCGCTGACCTCCATGGCAGTGGCCAACAGACCAGTTGCATAGCTCTGCAGCGGCTCAATGCTGTCCTCTGCCCAATTGTACAGACGATTAATGATGCCATCTTCCTCAGCGGTTTGAAACACGGCTGTCGTCTCCAATCCCGGCATAACAACCAATATCAGACGACACGCAATGATATTTAGCTCCAGAGAGCTGCGACTTACGTTCTGCCGCGTGAAATAGTTCTCCCGGAGATAATCGTTGAGCAGCTAAAAGGTTGAGGGTAAAAGAATTCAAGATTAAAATGAATATTGAAATAAATAGAACAATTTGAACAGATTATCGAATATTATAATTGCGTACCTTGCCCATGAACTGATCCTTGCGAAAGAGCAGCTTCAGCAGCAGTCCATACTGGCAACTGGGATCGGTGCGATAGGGATGCCTCAGATCCAACGGATCCGGATCCTTGCGCATATACGCATCCTTTTCGCGCTCAAATATCTCAGCCAGACTGCAATTATCACAATGTGTATATATAAATATATGGGATTATATATATTCATTAACTTTTACCTTCTGAGCGTGGGCACTGGATCGTAGCCACTTGTTGTTTGCTCCTGTTCCCATTTGTCAATGATTTGAGTGAGTTCCTTTTTGGTGGCCGAGCGCCTGTCGGCGGCTGGATCATCATCTGCATTGCCATTGCCAGCATCATCGCCACCGCTCTCATCTTCAGCAGCAGGCTCGCCATCGCCATCCCCATCGCCATCAGCTTCTCCATCGCCATCACCTTCACCTTCACCTTCTGCCTCCCCCTCGGCATCAGCAACTGAATTGCTATCACTTTGAGCATCCGCTTCGGCTTCGCCTTCACCAGCCTGATCCAGTGCATCGCCTATGCTGTCATCGCTTTGATAGGCAGCCGCAAACACGGCATTATCCAGGGAGGTGTCGTTGTCATTTCTCATCAATTCATCGGCAGCATCGTCTTCCTCCTGCGCCGCGGCATTCCCATCATTATTGTCATTCGCATGCGACATTCTGCGACCGGACCACGAGCCAAGCGCTGTACGCCAATTATTTATATATTCGTTTCGAACTTTGTGGAAATTTTATGTGTTTATATTTACGATGGGATCGAGTTGATTACAATGCAAATTCCTTGCCGCTAAACCACGCGCTTCTCTTTTTTTTTTGCCAATGAAACAGTGTGACCATCTGCCTGGCTAGAGAGGAGAGCGTGCGAATCGTGAGTGGGCTGCTTGTCAAATATATCGCGCAGACAATATTGAGTCACAGTAATTTAAATCAACTCAAAGTTAAAATTGCTTTAAATCAGCAGTTGTTGTTCGTTGTACTTATTTAACAACTAGTTCAATTATGTGGCAGCTTTTTAAGAACAGAAATCACCGCCTATTCAACAACCAGTTAACTATCTGGCAACTCAGTATGCAAAAAAATCATCGCATATTCAAAAGCCAAATTAATCGCCGCATATCGCCGAAAAAAGTTTATCGATGTGTCGCGTCATTGTTTTGTTTTGGGCACCTCATCAAGAACCAACACACATTTATTAATAATTTAGACAATAAAATGGGATTCCTATTCATACTTAGTTGGATATCCCTGGCATTACAGATCATCTTCTTGACACTCTCCATAGGTACGTGTACAACTGAGCGAGCAATGTGTATTATCTAATATATGCCCGTATTTTTCATAGTTGCTGGACTTTATTATCTGGCTGAATTGGCCGAGGAATATACAACGTCAACGCGTCGTTTTATATTGTTTATGATCAGTTTCACGATATTCGTGTACATCATGTTGATCTTCTTCGAGGACTTCTCGTGGACGATGATGGTGTGCGGTTTGCTGGCGCAGGCATTTCATTTTAGTATTATGACTAGTTTTCCATTTATACGATTGCTGTCGCTGCCATTTATTGGCTCGCTGGTAATGCTGGTGGTAAATCATCTGCTCGCCTTTCAGTATTTCACTAGCGTCTATGTGCCCTTTACGCAGGTGAGTCTATCGACAATTGGACGCGATATGTTGACTATGGATTTGTCTACTCCTTGTGCAGGTGCTTGCCTATTTTACAATCTGCATGTGGATGGTTCCCTTTGCACTGTTCGTTTCGGTCAGTGCCAATGACAATGTGTTGCCCACGACAATTGGCCTGAATGAGCGAAGATTGGGCAGCAGTAATCCGGATGTGGTCAGTAATTATTTCTCGGGAAACAAAAAGCTTGGCTTACTTTCGCTGTTTAACTATGTGAAGGACACGCTACTGCCAGGACGTAGCAAGAAATCGTTTTAAGAGAGAGAAAGCTAATCAATTTATTGTAAAAAAAATTTAATGATCCTTTAGTTATTTATTTTGTAATACAAGCCCCTTTTTAGAGTTAATAGAGATGAAGATATTTCACATGATGCAAATGTGGGGAGTGGCAGTGATTTATTTATTCTGGACTTTGACGGTGCCGTCAGCCATGCCAAAATAGCATTTGATTGCCATGTCAACGAATAGACCCGTCTCCATGACGCCCGGTATCATGGTTATTGCGCGATTCACCTCATCCCAGTTGTATTCACGTTTCGCCACAAATTTCCAGTCGATCAGAAAGTTGCCATTGTCGGTGACAATGGGACCGGCCTTCATCAATGCCACACGCAGCTCAGCATGTCCCCCGAAAAGCTCCTCGATTTTCAGTTTGACTGGCACATGGGCCTGGGGTGATACCTCGATGGGTATGCCACGGCACCACTGTTCGCCGAGGCGCAGTGATTTCTTTGTGTAATCGGCAATGACAATCATCTTCTTGGCACACGATGCCACAATTTTCTCCTGCAGCAGGCAACCGCCGCCGCCCTTAATCAGCACCATGGCATTGTCCACCTCATCGGCACCATCGATGTAAACATCAATTTTGCTATGGCGATCCAAATCGCCCAATGTCAAATTATGATCGAGTATCAGCAAACGTGCCTGATACGATGATGGCACACAGATGATGTCCGCCAAGGCGCCATCCTTCCACACACGTTCCGCAATGCGTTCGACGGCAAAGACAACGGTTGATCCACTGCCAATGCCCACCACTTTTGTCTCCTCGGTGACCCACTGGTCGACCGCGGTTATTGCCGCTAGCTTCTTGGCTGCATCCAATGCTATCTTATCCGTCATCTTGTTCTTGCAGCCTGCAGTTGAATTATTGCGCTGATTGATGGTTGAGGATTTAAATCCCAATGAGATCAATTGTGGTAAACCTCGACACAATGGCAACAATGGCTTCAACATGTGCTCTTCTCTCTCTCCAAATTTCAATGTGACCCGGCTTCAGCTTCGCAATCACAAATCTATTTTCACTGACACCAGCTGAAATTTAGCTCTTGAGTAAGCTGCTTATTATTTAGAAACAGTATGAAATAATAAATAATAATAATGGAAGTGTCTTCTAAAGTCTGTTTTATAGCTTCAATAAGTTGCCGCATTGGGAATTTAATCCACAACATTTTAGCAATATCTTATCGATATTTTCAACTAGTGTCACTGCATTATAAACATTAGAGACGCTAAACTAATATCGACTTAATTGATATTCATCGAATAAAATCAACCCTGCATTGTCGCCACCGCCAGAAGTAGAACAGCAGCAAGCAGCCGTTACCTTTCAAAATATTCAACAGGTTTTAAAATAAAATGGCCTAAAATAATGTGCAGATTTTAACTTTATTTATATGGATGATTGTAATTCAATTTAATTATTATATTATATGTGAGTCGTTATAGTCGTTATAGTGGCATCCATCAGATCCTCGTACCTGGCTACAGTCTGCATCCGTTTAAAGTCAGTTGGACAACGGTGATGCGCCGCAAGGATGGAAGTGTGGATTTCTATCGCTTCTGGGATGACTATAAGAACGGCTTTGGTAATTTAAATGGCGAGTTCTTCATAGGACTCGACAAGCTCCATTTCATTACCAAAGCTGTGGATCAGGAATTACTAATAACAATGGAGGACTTAAATGGACGACATAGGTTTGCAAAGTATGATCGATTTGCAATCGATGGAGAAATGCAATCATACAAGCAGATCACATTGGGCACTTACTCCGGAGGTGCTGGTGAATCCATGCGAATACATGCGGGTAAAAAGTTCACAACCAGGGATCGGGACTATGATACACATGACGACAATTGTGCTGAAATGTTTACGGGTGCCTGGTGGTATGATGCCTGCCACGACAGGTACTATATACCAACAGATTTGATTAATAAGCAATAGTTTATTAATATATATTTTTATTTGACAGCAATCTGTTTGGAAAATATATTCCGCAAAACTGTCGTGACATTAGTTGGCTTATGTTTACGGGTTACTCATCCTACCTAAAGCGTGTCCAGATGATGATAAGACCGAGGAGGGCTGAACACAGTAGCTGAATACATTTTCAAAACAATTGTTTCCTTTAATCTTTCAAATGTAGCCGAAGCGAGCAGAGCAGTGAAAGTCATTAGCCAAGAATATATTTTTAGACTAAGCCAGTTTGTTTTACAATAAATACGCTTGAGTCAAGTCATTATTTAATTTCTTATTGCTAACAATAGATGCAGAACAAACTTCGCTTTTACTATAATACAAATACATATACATACTTATGGAATATTTAAGCTTCGAAGCACTTTGTAAACGAATGCCAGCTGACGGAAATGCGCCAAAAGTAAGTAGAAAGCGCAGTGATGTAATAATAGTTTTCTGGATGCAATCGGGACAATGAAGTGCATACAATTTGCACAACCAACAGCAGCATCACAACAACAATAACAACAAGAAACCACAATACAAAAGTCGTTTAAAGTAAAACGCTTGCCTAGATAATGATAAGAAATGGTTGGAAAAACCATTAAGAGCATTCCTTCTTGGCTTAGATGGCGAGTAGATGTGAGTAGAGAAAGGGGCGGAATGGGTAAGGAAGGCGTTGAGACTTTCCATTGCTGACCAATGAATTGCAAATGGGGGAATTCCCCATTCCTCGAAAGGCCGCCCGCATCATGTTTCTGTTGCTCTTCGCCAATATTCCGAGTGGGAGTTCAGCAGTTGGACCATTTCCGAGTATGGTATTTGGTAGAAATTTAATACTTTTAGTGCACAAAGCGAAAACTCTGTTGAATGAAAATTGCGATAAGGCTGAATAAGGCAAAGCACAATCACAAAGGTGATTGCAATTTCTTCATTTTTTGCTAAATGTGGGACACAAGCTGAATGCCATACGAAACAGCAAAAAGATACTTACAAAAAAAGCTGTAAAAAAAAAAGAAGAAGAAGAAACATCAAATGTGTTAATGGAAGGAAATGGATTACAAGTGCAACAAAGAAAATATGCATGTATGCATCTCAAGATAGACTGTTTTTTTTTTATCATTAGCAAATGAAGTTGTCAGGTGCAATGAGTGGTGTCTTAAAGATATGCAAGAGTTCACTTCTGCTGTCCTTATTATGATCTATTGCTGTAACTTAAATTTGTGCAAGGCTTCTCTTTTTTAGAGAATTGATTTTAAATTGTACTAAATTAATTTATTTTAATGCATATGAAAACAAATCAATTGTTTGACACAACGTGTAACAATATTAAAGCATCCTTTTGTCAAGCGTATGCGAACAGTGCCAATGTAAATATCAATTATGTGAAACAAAAGCCCTTCACACACACACACACACACACACACATGTACACACACACACATGTAAAAGGGGAAAAAAATGATAAATGCAAATGGTTAATTAAAGGAATGCATTGTTTAATGTGCCCCTTGTGGCTGCCACACGCTTCAACACCTGCATGCAAAACCATTTCCCATTCCTCATTCGCCCGATCCCCAATTCCCATCCCTCACTTTTCCTCAATTACACGCACAAACTTTGCACAAAAAAGTGGCAAAATGGCAAAAAGCAAAGAGCAAAGAGCAGCAATTGCAAATGGAGCCGCGACCCAGTTGCGATGCCGTTTTCCTATTATGCTCCCCAAATAGCCGGGATCGGGGAGCACTGGGAGGAAAATGTGCATTTCAAAAAAAGGTCTCGTTTTTTGAGTGGGAGAGAAAGAGAGAGAGAGAGAGAGAGAGAGGGAGAGAGAGAGTTATGAGTTGGGAATGCTGATGATGACAATGTCAATGCTTGGTGTGTTGGACTCTGTGCTGCACTCAATGACTTTACCAATGGCTATATAATTTATAATTTGATTAGCACATCGCTGACTGCACACTCGAGGGGGGGTTGCCTACAATGGAGGCGCTACAAAAGTTAAACGGATGTGCATTTGAATGCAAAGAGGGGTGCAGAGTTTCTAAGCCTCTTATCTGAGCTTCCTATTGAACATGCTAATGGCGGAGGGACGAATGCGGGGGAACTGTGGGTGGCTTGGGAGCTGGTAAATCACACTGCGTTAACTGAGACAATGACAAATGATGATGAAGTGGTGGCAATGGAAAAGGATGCCTTGACTTAGCCTTGCCCTGCCCTGCCTTGCCTTGCCTTAGCCCAAAGTTTTATCTTCAGCTTTCAATTAATATTCGAAGTGGCGTTTTTTATTGGAACCCAACCACAAAAACACGCCGCACACACAAAAACAAAGGCAGCCCATGATAATCAGTTTTGCATTTGTTGTTGTTGCCACACACACACACACACACACACAGAACAAAGAATTTTTGTGAAAAGCCCCCTTAAGAAATGAATGAGACAAAAAGCAGACTTCCACACTTAAAGTGGATGCGGCGCATGAGAAACGCCTCCAATGTGAAAATTCACATTCATTCATTAAACAATAAACACAGCACAAATGTTGCAAATGTGGGCGTGGCATCTTTAGATTAATGGCCGCAAAACAAAAACGGACTAAATCAATTTATTACACACACAATGTATACGGCAGACAGTGGACCGCATTAAATAAACACATTCAACTGACTTTATTGCAATACACATTTAAGTTAATTAAACAGACAGCAATTTTGAGGGCATCATTTTTTAATTTTTCTTTTTATTGGCAGTTAGTGCTCCCAAAATTGTTGTCTATTTCGAATAACTTGTGAATTTTAGTTCAACGGCTGGCGTCTAGCTGGCAACATGCCCAGCGGCGTCCAGCGATAATGGCAGATATTCGTCTTTAACATCAGATTGAGACGCTTGATCTCCAGGAGCTGTTGGCTCGCTTCCCGCTCATAGAGTTCACGCATCCGCTTCTGACGGGATTTAATGAACAGCGCCTGGGCGGTGTTCAGCTCGATGCTTATCGGTTTTAGAAGGCTCTGGACAAAGCTGCCGCCGCCGGCGACCATGATAAAGTCCCGTCTCGCAGCCAGTTTCAATCTGAGAGCAAGGGAATATACCCATATCGATATCGATAATAACATTAACTGAATGCGATTACTTACAAATTGGTGTACATTTTGAACGCTGGAAAAAGTGCTTTACAAAACAAAAGAAATCTGAAACTTCATATAAACTACAAACAATAACAATAATGTTAACTCAACTGAAAACCCTGCTGTATTATCAAAGCCAATTGAGTTGAGAGAAATGTATAAAATATGCTGCTAATATAAACATTATTTTCTGCAGAGTGTGCAAAATATACAAGGCTTTAACTGTGCCACTCAGATAGCTTAATAAATCTAAAAATAGTAAGAAGCCTTAAGTTAAAGGCCATCATTGTCAAACCAAGCTCAATAATCATGTTAAATGGCGTTAATTAACACAATGAAATGGGCCAACAAGATTAACATAGCATGTGGATAACCACACGTGTGGGAGTATTAGGGCCAGGAAGGAAACCAAAACCGTTTGAATGTAAAGTCGAATAAGCACTTAACCATGTTTGTCAGCCTATCGAAGGTCAGGTCGAGTGAAACGAGGCCACTGAAATAAATAGACAGCAAAAGGGGAAAGGGGAAAGGGAAGGGACGGAAGGGAATGTGGTAACTTCTTGGCCTAAGTCTGGTTGCAATCTCTTCATTTTAATCAAATGTTTCTGTCAAATTTTGTCCTTTAAGTGCAAACACTCGTTGGGTTGAAAAACAAAGCACAATCAATTTTATTGGCAACGTGGATAAACGTTGTTGGCTAGCAACCAACCACTTTTGTAATTAAGCTTGTAGTAGCTTCTCCAAAAGGAACTACACTGGACTTTTCATTAGTCTATTAGAGCGCAGAATAACTAAAAAGGACTCGTCGCTGCTGCAAAAGGACCTGGCGGCTAAACAGCTCTTCTCTTCTAGCCTTTACTTTGGGCAACTGTGGCTAAGCAGAGGAATGACTGCCATTTAACTTAAAATTTGGCAAACAACGAGAAAAGCCAACACAAATCGTTGTTCGACAAAAGTCATATGCGGAGTGGCAGGGAGGGGGAGGGGATGGTGTTGTAGAAGAGGAGAGGAGTGGAGAGGAGAGTTGCTACACTCAGGTGTGTAATTGCAATTCGAATTGGTCAAGTGTAACAATGTAAAGACGCCAACGGAGAGACAGAGCAAGCGACAGCACTGAAAGTTAGTAAGGCGAGTGAATGACCGACGGGGAGCATACCCTGTAACCTATGCAAAAATTTGACTTAAACATTGAAAGCTGTGCTTCGGTTTCTAATAACAAAATCAATTGTTAAATAATTTCTAAGTTTATTGTTGCTTAAGGAAGGCAGTAAGCTGAGTTAGTGCTCGACTGGGAGGATACACTGTACCTTATAAAAAAATTACTTATGCATTGCAAGTTATACTTCTACTTCAAATTAATTGTTAAACTAGAAGGATATCCTGTACGCAATGCACATACACATTGCAAGCTGTGCTCCTGCTTCTAATGACCAATTATTTGTTAAATAACTTCTCTATTGTCTGAGTATCAAAAGAATTGTGGTGCATTAAGATGGCATTCCACAAGGACACACAGAATAAACGAACCTGGCCATAATAACTTGCCTGTTCAAGCTGATCGAGCATAAACATACTTCATGGTTCACAAGTATCTGCCACTGCCTCTTGCTGCCTCACATTGGCACGACTGCTGGATGTCCGTTCAGTATTATGTAATGCTGCTACAGGGTATCAACAAAGAAGAAGAAACACATGCACATATAGAGACTCTTTTGGCACTGCTTGACACCAAGACTAACACATGAGAGCAGCAAAGCGGCGACAACATTGGAATCAATTGGAATCCATGAACTTATGCAGCCAAAACTGCAACTTTGCTGCGAGTTGAAGGATGCTGAGAGGGAGGAGGGACGGGCTGAAAATCAAATTGCAAATTGCATTCAAGTGTCACGTGCATGGACACATTTTTGGAGCTGTTGCCAGCAACTATGCCCGATGCCCGATGCCCGACTCTGTAATGTCGTGAAATTTTTGGGCGCGCGCTTTGAACTTTGAACACATGAGCAGAGTTGGGTTATTGGAATCGCCGCCAAGGCAATCAATGCCAGAGACATGAACTCCCTAAGTGCATGTGTTATGCTAGTAGCAACACAAAGCTAACACACACACACACAGGCACACAGACATACAGACACACTGTTGGGGACAGGACAGCAACACATGCACCTGCGTCATGCCACACTCTTGCGCTGCTCTTTTCCGGGGTGGCAACCATTCATTATGTTGACCACGCTGTCACATTTGCTACGTGACATTTTGCTAACTGCCCGAAATGAGTAGAAAGAGAGGCAAATAGCGACAGAGCGAGTGAATTAGAGAGAGAGGGAGAATCGTCACTTGTAAATGCAACATAGTTACACACACACACACACACTCTCCCACTCGTCTTCACAGTAACCGAGGCAAATATGAAAACTTTGTGGTGCCCCTCATCTTCTAGAGTTGTGCCCAAAAGTGATTACGATAGGCATAAAATGTGATTTATGTTGCGAAACATCAGGAATTAAATATATAAATACATTTTTTTAATATCTTATTCAACGTTCTATTATATTAAGCTACTCCAAATACTCTTATGTGGCAAAAAGATATAATCGAAAACTATCAAAAGCATTTGTTAAATAAAGTATTTTTCAACACCTTCACTTTTACATGTGATCCATGTAGTGGAATTGCTGGATTGAAAACAAACTAGTGCAAATTGAAATACAAAAAGTCATATTTATAATTAGTAGAATAAATAATTGAAAACTTTAATAAATTTGAAAATTCAGATATTTTGCCAAAAGTTAGTTTTTCCCTTCAATTAACTTGTTTTTCAATTTATTTTTGTCTCCTTTCTCGAGTCATTAGTTGCACTACAAAAATGTGAAGATATTATCTTATCTAAGATTGCATATATTTTTTCTTCTTTTTTTGTTGATAATATTTAACGAAATAACCATTTATCTGTGACTCAATGCGCATCTCCAGGGATTGCTGCTTGTGGGTCACCCATTTGATAATGTGCGCTTTGGGAAACGTGAGCTTCACTCGAATTGGCTCTGGCTCTGGTTCAGGTCCTGGTCCTGGTTCTGTGGCTTTGTGCGTCGCTAATCGCCCTCAACTGATGCTGGAAACTGACGAGTTGTCGCATTACTGCATCCATTTGAGCTGTTGCAAAGTGCTTGATTTGAAAATTAGTAACTGTCAGTTGATATTTGCTCGAAGTCCCAAGTGATATGTACATATATTTGTATATATATGTATGTTTATATGTTTGCTATAGCACCATTGCATACTGTTAGAAAATGCAGTCAATTGCATTGCCATTACAATATACGAAGTTATGGCAAACGCTGTACTTGGGGGAGAATTCAGAGGCCCTCAACTGCATTGCAGTGGAGCTGTAGTGCTCAACTTGGCTCCGTTTTGCCTTTTGAGCTGCGTTGAGGATTTGTATCGAAGATTGCTGCAGCAGCAGCAGAGCTCCGGCTTCAGCTGCAAATTACAAGCAAATAAACCGAACGCCCCCGCACTCCTCCCCCCATCAAACTTGGTGTAAGAGTTGAGTTATGAACGTGCTGGGAACAGGAAGCGCAACGAATCGAAGCCAACAGGCAACAACTACAACAACAAGTAGAAACAAACAAACAAACAAACAAACAAACAAACCACCCACAACACCAGTAGCCTCGTCCATACACACTGCAGACCGAAGGTAAAGTAAATGTGCAAACATTTATTTATGTGCCAGCCATGGAGCACTTTAAGGCACTTCAATTGCCCTGATTCACCCACACTTAGCGAAAAACCTATAAGCTGTATTTTGTAGAAAGTAGTCAAGAGCTGCGTTACTTTCCAGAGAGTGGGCATATTTGCTCTGTGTATTTTGTTATTTAATGTACATACATATATATGAAGAAATACTTTTATTTTAAGTCATATATAATCTTTTTCAAGTAAGTTGTTTCATATTTTTTTGGTGTTCTAAATAAAGGCTTTTTGTCAGAGTTTTAGAGAACAAAATGTTTCTTTTCAGTGTTTTCATAAGACTTCTTTTCAGAGTTTAAGCCGAGTTGTTAAAACTATCATAAAAGGTTTTCAGCTTTTAGTTTAAACTCAAACTAGAAAAAAATAAGATGTTTATGAGATGCTTGACTGAGGGTAAGCTTTTCGAGCCATAAAAATTGCATTTGACTTAGAAATTGAATTTCTAAAATACTAAACCGTTAGCAAATGTCTAAATTTTTAGGCCAACCTTTTTTTTTGTCGAGTGCAGATTGAGAATGGAAACAGCTGCAACTTTAAGTTGGCAGCTGCGGGGACGAAAGCGCTCCTTAACCCAAACAAATGCTGTGTACTTCGAGTGGATGCTGGACAACGCTTACAAATGACACTAGGCGAGTCTCGAGAGCTGTCTGTTTGTCCAGCTGTCTGTCTGTTTGTCAGGTAGTTTTGCCAATTCAAATATCAAATTTGTCGGGAATTTGCAATTGCATTTTTGCACATACTCCACCTCTGGCAACAATATACCAGCCAGTGGCGAGAGCTCCACACCCGCTCCCTTCTCCTGTTTCCCCATCTAACCATACACTATACATATACCATCAGTAATCGAAAATGGAATTAAATGTTTTGCAAACACGCCTGGACGCGTTTTGCCTTTACAAACACACAACTGGCAGCGCCAGCCAGCAGCATATAAATTAAATTTTATTGCCAAGTTTGGTCCGTTTGCGCTGTAAATTGTGATGGATTCTTCGCCATTTGGTTTTGTGTGCAGTTTTAATGTGCCACCATATAAGGGGCACATAAATTTACTACACGCACACGGATGCATAATAGATATACATAGATGAGCTGCAGTGCAATACGTAAACCTTATATCGGATATGGTCAGCTGAAGTGCGATGCTCCCTTAAATTGTAAAACAAAGTACATCAATTTAATATTACAAAATGGATGTATTTTATTAAGTATCGTTTTCATTTAAACTAAATGAAATTGCATTTAAAAAACTGTTCAGTTTAGACAAATCATGATTTTGATTTCTCGATGAAGCTTTGGTTATTGAAATCGGATTACTTTTGACAAAGTTATAACCTTGGAAAGTTTGGACACATGTTTTTTTTTTGGAATCGAGATTTAAACTTTAAATGAAGTATTATTGTTGAGATCAATTATTATTCGAATTATCTTAATAAGTACATTTTCCGGCAATACTCATACATTTTGTCAGCACCAGCATCTTTATTATATTTCCAGAGAGACATTCATTTTTTTAATGAGCACTTGTTGGCCTTTTATTTTGCGCAGGAACTTTAATGAACAAAAAAAATGCTGTCCGCCCCTTCCATGAAGGCCTCTCTTAAGGGTGCCAAATGAGAGACATGCTGCGGAAGAATAAGTTGCAAGACACATGAGCAACATGAGTTGGGGCACATTTGAGATGGCTGTCTGTCTGTCTGTCTGTCTATCCGTCCGTCCGTCTGTACGTCTGTCTGTTGGCAAGGAACAAGTGCAAATAAAAAGTCGCCACTAAGTAGTGTTTTCTTTTTGTCCATTTCTCCCTGTCTGCCGGCTCAGAGGGAAGGGTAGTTGTTGCACTTTGGGTTAAAAAAGCGGAAAATCGCAGCACATTTCTGCTTTTTAATTAAGCCCTCCATTTTTTATGTGGCTTTCGAAAGCGACACGCCGTGGTTCCATGTGAAAAGTGTGAGAATAGTTTATTTTTCACTCAAAACCCAGAGAAAAGTGCAAAATGGCAAAAAAATAACAAGAGTGTGTAAACAAAAAAGAGGGTTACTGAAAAACGCAACGCAATGGTTAACGCTCTGGCCCGTGTTGGCCAACTGAGTCTCAGTGAGGAGTGTGGCAAATAGGGCTTAAATGCCATGAGATCCAGACGCATTGGGGTGCAATTGAAAGAAATACCATGACGACTACTAACTTACAATACTTACAATTTATATGAGTAGGAGCAGCAGAGTCTAAATGGCAAACCACATCATTATTTTTATGTCTGTGTAAGGGTTAAGTCGAAAGACTGGCGATTCTTATGTGCTTATCCATCTGTAAATAGTTTTTTGCATGCAACTTAAACCATGAATATGTATAACATTTCAATTTGCAATTCACCAACTTCCATTTCTTTGTGAATTTGCAGAGAATTGTTGTTTATACAGTGACAAAAAACTGATGTCTTTAGTCCGTTGAAGTTTATACAATAATATAAATGAATCATTTAATACATTTCTAAGTAATAATACAAGTTACTTTTGACTCCGAAAGTCTGTCGAACTACTAAAGCTCTGGGATCTTTTGTTCTGAGTGTACTTGGCAAATAAGTGGAAGGCACAGCGACAATTTAGTTAGACTACAAAATGCTTTATATATGTATATATACAATAACAAGAACCTTAACTTTTGAAAGCCGCAAGAAAATAAACAAAAAAAAAAAAGATTGCAAAGGTCTTGATTGACGATGACAGCCACGAGCATATTCAAAGACGGTCAACAGAAAAAGTGGCTCTGGTATTTCAATGATGCATTCAGTTAATATCGCTGTTCCCAGCGCAGCAGACGTGCTTTTGTTTGTTTTGTTGTTGGTCGCTTTCGAGATATATTGTCGATATCGGTTCAATTTGAATGCGTGCCATGATTCAAGCGAGGTGAACAAGCACATACCGAGACTGAGTTATTGAACTGAACATGAAGTGCGTGTTAAACTGGTTTTAGAAACTCAATGACCCGATACTGCAACGTTACGGGACTGTAGTTTACCAGTCTGAAGCCGTACACTTTGTAAAAATCGACCAGCCAACCCTTGGTGTCCGTTCCTCCTGACTCTTCAGGTCGCAGCTCCTTGCGCAGCGTCATTTGGAACTCGCCTAGGACTATCCGGCGATGTGTGGGTGCCAATTGTTCGGGTATTTGAGATTTTCGGAGCACCTGCCGCATCTGCTGCCACATCTCCTGTTGCTCCACACTGCATGCAAAGTCGCGCATATCGCGCAGTCCCACAAAAGCAATATCCACATAAATATAGTTGCGTCCATCCTCGCAGAGACGCTGCACAGTCACCGGTTCGACACGGCACAGATGCTGTCGCTCAAAGCGCACCAGTTGCGTGTATTGGGTTTTCCGTTGACTCTGGGTTAGTCCATAAATGGCACAAGCGCCCTGATCTGTGCAGCAGCTGCGTATGCGACTCCAGTCCGCCCGACGCACCGCCTCGATCATCTGAGTGGCCGCCTGTCGTGCCCCCACTAGGAAATCAAACTCATCGAACTCGGGTCCCAACAGCCGACGCAGCTTCCACATGTTGTAGCGGCAACGCAGTCCACTCCACCAATGTAACCAGGCTGCGTACGTGCCCATCCCTGATTGACCCACATAGCTCAGTGAGCGTCTTGGACAGCTAGTTAAACGTAACAATTTTGTTGAATTTGGATGGCAAAGGCGTGTTGTAGAGCAACCCAAGAACTTGGCCATCATTTTGAAAAGAGAAAGCTAAATATTCGAATTATAATGGGCCGAAATGTGACTAAATGTCAAATTGAATTACATTAAAATCTCGGAATATTTATACAATGTTCGTAAGGGACTAAGGAATTGAACGTGCTTCAATTTCAACTAGATATGCCAAAATTGAATATATATATATATTGTCTTATGATATATACTCCTTGTTAACTGCTAACTTTTCTACTTTATCACAGCATGCAGGCTTTTTTGTACTACTTCACCAGTCTTCTGCTGGCAACAGGTGTCTTGTGCATCTATAATCCTTATAGGTTGCCTAACGTTATCAGACCAAAACACTACGATTTGCGCATTTTGACCCATCTGAATGGACGCGATCAGCTGCATTTCGAGGGTCGGGTCAAGATTGACTTTCAAGTTCAACAACCAACAAATAATATTACGCTACATGCCAAGAATTTGACTATAGACGATAGCCAGATTACTTTATCAGCGCATAATGGTCTTAAGACGAATATAATTAAAACTGAGCTGAATAAGGAGAAGGAGTTCTACATAATGCATGTGGCTGGGGAACTGCCAGAGTCGGAGCAATACGAGTTGATGATTCCTTTCAAGGCTCAATTAAGTGAAAATGATACTGGCTACTACTGGAGCTCTTACAATGATTCATTCACAGAGAAAACACAGTGAGCACTCGCTATGGTATCCCCCGTTTGTTTGGTGAGTAATTATATTTTGTATTTGTATTTCAGTTATTTGGCAGCAACACAATTCTCACCGACTTTTGGCCGAACTGCGTTTCCCTGCTTCGATGAGCCGCATTTGAGGGCCACATTTAGGGTCACATTGGGCTATCACAGAAACTACACGGGTTTGAGCAATACACCAGTGAGGAACTGTGAAGCACAGTAAGTATCCATATCCTCCATCTCATATCTATTTGTTGTACTTATTTCTCCCATTTTAGTGAAACCCTGGAGAACTACATTTGGTGCGAGCATGAGCCATTGTTGCCAACCTCCACATATCTTGTGGCATATTCAGTGCACAATTTAAGTAGTGTTCCCAGTCCACCAAGTGATACCATTCACAATGTCCGCTTTCGCAGCTGGATGCAGCCCAAAGTTGTTGGGGAAAGCGAATTCTGTGTGAATTTTGCACCGAAAACACTGAGTTATTTGGAGCAACTATTCGAGTATCCGTTTCCATTGAGCAAAGTGGATCAGCTGGCGATGCCAACGCACAAATTTAGTGCCATGGAGAACTGGGGTCTGACCACCTTCAAACAGAGTCACTTTGTGCACAACGACACCGAGGAGTTGCAGCAGGCGAAGGAGTCAAAGGCCCAAACTGTGGCACATGAATATGCCCATCAATGGTTTGGCAATTTGGTTGCCCTTAATTGGTGGAATGATCTCTGGCTAAAGGAAGGACCGTCCACATACTTTGCGTACCTGACACTGGATGCTCTGATGCCCGATTGGGGCAGCAGCCAGCGCTTAATAGGCAATGATTTGGCCAAATTCTTTCAGGATGACATGATCAACAATTCAATTGCCATTTCACGTCAGGTGCAGGATTCGAAGAGTGTTCTCGAACAGTTTTCGCCATATGTGTATAAGAAGGGTTCCCTAACGATGCGAATGTTGCATTTGCTTCTAGGCGATGAGGTCTTTTTCCTGGCCATACGAAACTATTTGAAGCGCCATGCTTATGGCAGTGTTACTCAGTCGGAACTCTTTGGGGATATGCAGCAGGCAGCGGATTTAAAAGATGCACTCAGTCCGGATATACAACTGTCCACTGTGATGGACTCCTGGACTCTACAAGGAGGATATCCGCTAGTGCATGTTGTTAGAGACTATGAAAGAGGCAGTGTGCAGTTAAATCAATCGTTATTTCTGCTAACAAATAAATCAAAAGAACAAAGTGAATCCTGCTGGTGGATTCCACTCACTTTTGTTATACAACAAAATGCGAACTTTAACGAAACGCAGCCACAATTTTGGTTGAAATGTCCCAGAGCCCAGCAAACACAACAATTACTCAAGAAACCCAAATCAGATGAGTGGATTATGCTAAATCCGCAAGTGAATAGCATTTATCGTGTCAACTACGATGAACGCAACTGGCAGCTGATAATTCAAACACTTAACTCAAGTGAACACTCAAATGATATTCATGTGTTAAATCGGGCACAACTAATGGATGATCTAATGGCACTGGCCTGGACAAATCAGCAGAGCTACGACCTGGCACTAAGTATGCTAGAGTATCTGCCCAGGGAGCAAGAACTTTTACCCTGGAATACAATTCTGAATTTGCTCAATAATCATGGTGAACTGCTGCGTGGCGACCAGTCAAGCATATTTAGAGTGAGTTCTAGTTCAAGATGATGTTTGTACTTGTATATTTATTAATCAATCTTTGCAGGCCTTTATGCAGAAACTTGTTAGCCCACTGTATGCACGCTGCCCCAAAGTGAACTCTGTGGCAGCGCGAACCAAGTCAAGTCCACTGATAGCCCTCTATCGTTTGGCTTATAGTCAAGCCTGTCGCTATCAACTGGATGACTGCATCGACCAGGCTCTGAGTTTAGGCCAATTCACTGAGCAAATCGAAGAAGTGCCCATTAATTTTAGGGATATTATGTCTTGTGCAAGCATCGAGCATGGCATTCAAGAGCAGTTCCAATCGATGTTGCAACGTTTCAAGAACTCCACGATTGAATCCAGAAAAACCGCTTGGGCTAAAGAACTCGGCTGTAGTCGGAATTTTAGTCAGCTACAAGAGTTTCTGGACTATCTACTGCAGTCCACAGACAAGACCACGAAAACTTATTATATTGTAGTCGTTAATTCGGCATTGCAACGTCAAAATGTTGCACTGCAGACCGCTGATCATGTTCTACAACATGCCAAAATACTCAAGTGAGTAATACTTGCAAATTACTTAAGCACAGGCACACAAGTTAATCCGCATTCAATTTGCCTCCACACTCCACAGTGACAAGTTCAGCTCGAGGGAAATCAAGAGTCTGCTCTTAACCATAATTGGTAATTCACACAGCCAACTCGATGAATTGAAATTGAGGCAGCAACTAAAAGGACTCGACAAATTTGAGAAGCATCTGGGAGCAGCACTCCATATACGTAATATTAATTTGAATTGGTTAGCGCAACGTTCCGTAAACTTTATCGCAGCCTTAAGTAAATATATTTAAAGCAAAGAGGTGTTCCAGCTAATTGATAATACGGAGCTAAAGTTTTGATGCTCGCTGTGGCAAAACCACAGTCGAGCAAGCCAAGCAAAACTTTTGTCTTCAAGTCAAATACAAGTGCGCTGACAACAGAATACTCAGCCAACATTCAATACCCAACTATGGTGTAGGTTGGTATTAATTAAGCCAATGGTGATGAAATCTAGGCATTGAAATTGAAAGGAATGAAGACGATGACGACAGAGATTTGCGTTGGCGGCCTGCTGAGCCTTTGGCATCCAGCTGCTTGGGCCTGTCACAAACTTGGCTTGCTGTCGTTCCTTTGACTTGTAAATTGCTTGACACGGGACACACACACCCACTCACACACACACTCACACACACACCCACACACATATATATATCTACAACCAGGATATGCGCTTTGTTTCGCTTGGCATTTGACGTTTACACGAAGATGACAAAATGTTTCGCTCTTGGTCCTGGACATGACACACAGCCAGAATGATGATGCGGATTGTCTTCCATTTACATACATATATCTATCTATATACATACCTATTTATGTATATATAAGCACAGCTAGTCAACAGTTCCCCAACAGTTGTGCCTTTTGTCTGCCGTCTCCCCTTGTGTATCCCTGCCAATTAGACAAATTGATCAAAAATGAATTGGCGACTTTGCTCAGAGACAGCAGCTTGAATTCGCTTGCTTTTATATATGTATGGTTAAACCATTTCAGGGGATTATGGCATGCTGTCATTTCAATTGAATTTTCAAATGCAGATTTTGCATGTACAACTTAATCCAGAATTTCAATTAAGTGCATTAACAAGTTGCTTTATTTACGCTTGATTTAGCCTCAACAAGCTTGTCTGACATGTAAAAGACCAGCATTTAATCAGGCATAAATTGATCATGAAATTGAAATAAATATATTCGAGCCAAAAGCAGCCAACAAGAAAGATATTTCATTAAAAAATTCAACTCCAAAATGAAATTAAAATACATTGCATACATAATTACAGGGTATTTAATTATTGGCCAGTCATTTATTAATTTGCTACGTTGATCAAGCACATTTTTGCCATCGATAAATTTTTATCGACAAATAAAAAACGGTCCAATCATAAAATTAACGCCATTAAAGCAGTTAACAGAGAAAAAGAGGATGAATATTAAATTAATTGTTTCAATGTGTGTGTGTCTGTGTGTGTGTAAATGAATTTAATGCGCACTGACAGCGCCAAAAGAATTATGAATGTTTCATATTTGTATTACGATGATGCCTTTACTTATTTATTTATTATAAATTAATTGAACGACAACACGTGAATGTGACACTTTAATATTGTTTGCGTGTCAAATTACCATTTTGTAAACAGAAAATCCAGCGACGGCTTCTTCAATTTCCGTACCCCCTTTCCCCATCTGAATCAGATGCAGGATAAACGATTAATAAATGTATACAAATAAACAAATATTGAAACTGTAATGTTAATATACAGAATTATCAAAGGTGCAAAGGATTTTCCACATTTCAGCAATGATCCCTTGGGGTTTAATATTTCAATTTTTGCCAGCCATAATTAGTCGGAATAAATGGCATATTTTGGGGGGCACACACCTTGTGGGGTATACTCAAATGTATGCTATATGTCATCGAAAAATATGGTATACTCGTATAACCATCGAAAACACTTTGCCTAATTGTATTCTCTGATTGCACCTAATATTTGATAGAGCCTATCATGATTGTACATCAAGTGAATTAACATTAATCGATTTCGATTCGGGGTGCAGACAAAATTTCGATTGCTTACAGTCAAGATGGCTGTGGGGCAAAGTTTTGTGTCTGCCCCATTTTCAATGCTGTCTGACCAAGATGTGGCACAAGCAGAAGCTGAAGCAGAAGCAGAAGCACTGACAATTTTGGCCAGTTTGCAGTTTGCTGATTGCACACGCACACACACCCACACAGAATATAGAGTTTTCAATGATAATTAATATGCAGCGAGCGTCTGTGTGGCACGATAAGGATCAAATTATGTAATAACGCATTAAAATTGAATTTCTCGATGCGTGCTCGGTTGGCAGCAAGCGCTTCTTGGCCATTAGAAAATTGACTAATTAGCTCTAATTGAATACGGCGACGACTATCGACTGCCATTCTGGGAGTTTTGTGGTAGTTCATTGTAATTCAATTGGGTCGTCTGATATACAAACAAAAATGTATATCCCTACTTATATATATATATATGTATATATAGGTATATGAGTTGTTGGGGTAGAAGCGCGTTTATATCAATTATGGGACACACCTGGAGGACGCACTGGAATTAACTTTTGTTGTAAATTGTGCAGCTTGTTTGCCCCTTAAGTTGCATGTTTATGTTACTTTCTTTTGTGCCATTTTGTTTACGCCGTAAATTCAACTAGAACAGATGCGAGGGGCTGTGGGGGGAAATGGAAACGCAACAAGAAAATGTTGTTTGCTTTTAGTGGCGAGCAGGAGAGAATAAATTCATTAAAAAGTTTTATTCGATATAATGCAGCAATGCGAATATTAAATGCAAATATTTTGCAAATATATACACAATATCGATTTATAGTTTAATTTATTTTGAATTCGTCGTACTTTGTACTTTGTAATTTATTTTTTGAAGGTGGCTTTATCAACGTCATTAGAAAGAAAAGTTTTGCTTTGCATTTATTGCTTCCTTCCCAGAGTTTTTGTTTGAATTCAGCAGGACGTGCAAAGTAGTTCTTGGTCCTTGCTCCTTGGTGCTTGGCTGGCTGCCGCCAGGCAGAGACATTCCATGAAAAGTTGCCACGAACCAACTGCCACAAAAGCTACAACGAATCCAATAACTTGAAACTGGACCGGACCTGCAACCAAGTTGCTCGAATTCTGGAAGTAACTTCTTTTTCTCTCTTACCACTCTAGGATGGCAAACTTACAAATTTAGATTAGAAGCACAATTGCCACACATGTTTGCACAAATGCTGGCAAGATTGTTTAATTTCGTTTAATTAAATTGCAAATATTTTATACTCAAAGTACTTGCTGCATTTTCTTAGCCTTAAATTCTCAAGGCAACAGCTGCAAGGCTAAAGGCTTTTCAGACAACTGCACTTGTAATCTTTTCGTGTATGGCAATTTAAAGTGCATAATTTGTTGCAACAGCTGCCACAGTGAATACCCCTTTTGGTGTCATGCCGGCGGTTTGCAGTATTTCCGAGAAAATTAAGTGATTCTTGTTGGCTGAAACGGTATTTAACATTGTTGATATTAAATTGTACAAGCTAAAATATACTTCAATTTATGTATGTAAGAAAACATAATAAAGGCTTGCATAGTAGAAGAAATATATGTATGCAGAGAAGTTTAATTACCTTATTGTTGACTTATCGGATTTTTCAATTAATATTCATGCTTTTGGAAATAAAAGTAATTAAATAATGAACAGCTATCTTAGGCATTCCAAAGATAGCATAAATTTGCATGCCGTAGTTAAACTGTCCATACTTAAATTGCACTATAAATTTAAAGAATCGAACGATTGTTGTTCTAAAAGCTAGGAGGAACAAAATAAAACTGGTAACTTATGATTTTGATCTGGATAGCTGAGTAAACAATAAAGTTTTTCATAAAAAAAAATTAATTTTTCGACTGATTGTTCTATATGCGATATGATGTTGTACCCCAATCTCGATGTTTATTTTTTCCAAATATGGAGAGTATAAAAGCATGCATACATTGTTAATTTTGTTAGGATACCTTGGTAAAGAAGATATTGTAATAACATTGACTGAGCAAAGCGCCGACATAAATATAATTAGTAACCTTTTGTTGAGTAAATGTTTTGCATTTCATTCAAATGCAAATGCCAATTTTCAAAAGACGAATGGCATCCGGTTGACCACTTTAAAAGGGCAATTGTGGGGGATGCACACTCGTTGAATATGACCTTCAAACTACAGTACACACACACACACCCAGAACAAATAGTCGTTACACAGATGCCCACCCACTGCCACGCCTTAAATAACAACCTCAGTAAAAAGTGCCTGGCAGCGTAGCAATAACATTGCCAACAAAAACAAGCACACAACAACGTCAAGTTCAAAGCGCCAAATTTTAAGTGCTTGTCCTTGTTGTTGTTGTTGTTGGTCCTGTTTTATTGGAGCTGCTGTTGCCGTTGCTGCTGTTCCTGTTGCTGCTATTGCTGATGTTGCTGGCGCTGTTTACTCAGGTTTCAGACGCACCCGCCCACCCACTGCTGAAAAGAAGGAAAAACACTTTTGGCACGCATCGAAGGGGAAAACCAATAGAGCAATGCTTCAACGGACGCGACTCAAGCAACACAACTTGAAGCCACCTCGAGACAAGTATGATGAAAACAACAACAACAATAGCAGCAGCAAAAGCTGAACACCACAAAGTAAAATGTGTTAGTGGACATCAGCTGGATTGTTGCTTCTTCGGAGCTGCCTGCAAATAGCTAGTTAAATAAGAAGCGCTATAGATAAGTGCTTTTATCTTTATTCAAACTACTCCTTCACCCACCCAACATGAAATCACATAAAGCACTTGCGTAAAGTAAAAATGTTTTATTTGTTATTTGTGGCACAATTTCTTGCACAATTCCTGACTTGAGTTTCCAAAGATAAAGATGAGACACTAAAGAGCTATGAGGTCGCAGGAGGTAATAATAAATAATAAAAATATATAATAAATAAAAATATATATAAAATAAATAATAAAATCAATCGCACAGTTGTCCTTATCTAATAGTTTTTCACAAATTTTCAAAGCATTTATCACTTTTCGCTTTAAGTCTGGCGCCCGAAAGTATGCAATACTTTTTGTTGCCCACTCAAAAATCTTTTCAGCATCCGCCCCAAAAGAATGTTCACAATTTTCAAGACTAGTTGCAAACTGATTGAAATTCGTTGCATATCAAGTGCAGAGTGTTCTTCAAACTTTGATGCGATTTAGCGAGCGTCTACTGTGCTGTGATAAATTAGTGGCAAGCTTGTTGATAATAATGGAATCGTGTTCCATGTTGTATTGCATATTAAACAGAGCTGTTTTATTCACAGGCACATTTGATTGTCAACTGTCTGTCTT